GCGCTGGCGGAGGGGGCTGGTCATGGATGGAGCAGGCGGCTCTCCCTCAGACCCATGAGATCACCCGTGGCTGTTGAACAAATGACACTGAAGAATGGGGGTTCTCTGGAGAGGTTGAGTGGTACCCAGACAGACTCCCCTTGCCCCAGCTGAAGAAACAGGCCCCCAGGATGTGCAGAGAAACTTTAAGCAGGTGGCTCTCAACGAGGCCCAGGGGTAGCCAGAAAGGGTGGGGAGATTTCTCCGCCTGGCCTGAGGCAAGGTTGCCAGACACCTGGCCAGGCTGAGACGGGAGGGCTCTGCACAAAGCGGACTGGGATGGGCCCCGAACCACCCAGCCAGGAGAGGGCTTTGCCGTGGAGTGGGCTGCGTGGCTGGGGCCTTAAGGACCAGCTCCCAGCAGCCCCATGAAACTGCAGGGTCAGCGGAGGGTGGGCCGGCATAGAGGCACCTGCACACCAACCCCTTGGACGTCAGACCCCTCCAAGCCCTGCCCCCAGCCCTCCAGCTACCCCAGCCAAAGCTCATGGCAGCCTAATGAGGTCCAGTCCCACTGCCAGCCCAAGGGAGAGCTATCCCACTGGACGCTGCTCCACCGGCTCCAGGGTCCCCAGGCCCCAAATGGACAAAGCTTGTATGGGCTCAGCTGGCCCCTCGCTCCAGGCAAGGTGAGAGCCAGGCAGCTGAGCCTAAGCGGAGTGTGGTACGCCCGTACGACAGGCACTGTTAGCCACAAAGAAGCACGACCTGGCAGCGGCTGAGGAGCCCTGGCCCCCTCCCTGCCGTATGTGTGCTGAGCCCCAGTTCCAGGGGCACGGCTCGGCTGGCTTGGAAAACTCCAGGCCTGTATTAGTGCGTGCACCCAACCCTGACAGGATGGACAGGGGAGAGGGCAGCAGTACGACCACACCTGCAGGGATGCGTCTCCTGTACGCTCTCCCTCCATCCTGGGGCTCACACGCCCTGTGGCTTATAAACAAGAACAGAGTGTGGGTGCCCGTCCATGCTGGAATACCTCGAAGCTTGAGGACATCATCTCAGTGAGATGGACCAGTCCCGAGAAGATATTCTGTCATGGGTGGACCCTGGAGCAGGGAAGTCCACAGCAGAGAGGGTAGGGTGGCTGGCTGGCGGCATGGGAGTCAGGGCTGCACGGGGCAGTTTCGGCAGGGAAGGGGCAGAGGTTGCAAGTGGTTTGTACGATGTTGAGGGTGCACTTAACACAGCTGAGCTGCACATTTCAAAATGGGAGATTCAACTGCACATTTTAACTGTTTATCTTCCCACAGCTAACAACAAAGGGACCAGGCCGGTGGCGTGGTGGTTAAAGGCACTAAACTCTCACATGGTCAACCACAGTTCAAGTCCTGGACCTGGTGGCTTGCTTTCTCACTTTCCCTCTGTCCCTTTCTCTGTCTCTCTCCAATCAAACTGGAAAATAATAGTAGTAATAAATAAAGTTAAATAAAATAACTCTTTAAATAAATAAGTAAATAAAAGTGAAGGGCCCAGTAGATGGTATAATGGTTACGTCGCTGGATTTCCACGTAGCCGACTGACGTCATAGCCGGCTGAAGTTGGAGTCCCAGACCCAGTGACTAAAACGCCAGGCACTTGTGCGTGCGTGCCCAAAATCCAAGCGGAAAATGGAGGAGAAGGGACTGGCGCTCGGTCATCCCCCCCCGGGGGTGATTTCTCACTTACTGTCTCTCTGTCTCACCGGTGCACCCTAGAGCAAAAACCTCTCTCAGAAAAGTAAGGGAAGGAAGGAAGGAAGAAAAAGAAAAAGAAAGAGAAAGATGGGACCAGCAGATCATGTACTAGTTATGTCTTTGGACTCCCACATGGTTGACCACGGTTCAAGTCCTGGACCTGGCGCCAGGTGCATATGCATGCATGCCCAAAATTCCAAGAAGAGAATGGAGAAGGGATTAAGAGGAGTCCAATCCCCCTGGGAGGTGATTTCTCACTTTCTGTCTCTGCCTCTCCAGCGAACACACATGTCCTATAGCAAAAAAAGAAAGGGCTTGGCATGGCCTTGGGCTGGGCATGTAGCAGGCAACTGAGGCATTTGCTACGAGGGCAGTTGCCACCAGGGCCTGGCCTCTGAGGCAGACAATGGGCTTCAGGCGCCCTCTGGTGGCACTGTGAGGAGTCAGCCTCAGACCTGCTTCTAGCAGCCCTAGGCGCTCCTGCCACCTCCCCCACCCCGGAGTCCTTCAGAGAATGGGCCAGTGTCCATGGGTGCAGGGAAGGGGCTCCCGGAGGGTGGGGCAGTGTCCATGGGTCCAGGGAAGGGGCTCCTGGAGCATGGGGCAGTGTCCATGGGTGTAGAAAGGGCTCCCGGAGGGTGGGGCAGTGTCCACGGGTGCAGGGAAGGGGCTCCCAGAGGGTGGGGCAGTGTCCATGGGTGTAGAAAGGGCTCCCGGAGGGTGGGGCAGTGTCCATGGGTGCAGGAAGGACTCCCGGAGTGTGGGCTGGTCTGCAAGGGGCACATGGCCATGAGTCACCTTTTCAACACCTGTCTCTTCTGTCCCTGCAGCCACCTCATCAAGGGCCCCCAGCGACGATGCTGTCCAGCCACCTGGATGAGGAGGCCACTTTTCATTGACCCGGCTCCACTGAGGGAAGCAGCTGGGCGTCACCAGCCATCAGAGCCACCCCGGGAACCGGAAGCCCCCACGGCCACAGCAGACGCGACACCCTGGGAGCAGGTGCTCTATAAGCACGTGGAGAGTGGGTGAGGACACGATGGGGGGAAGGCACTGACTATATGAGAGGCCTCCCAAACTGTCCCCACAGCTCCAGAGCCCCAGGGCCCTGAACCTCAGAAGGGACCTCTGTCCATCCCACCCCAGTCAGGACCGAATTCAGACAGAAGGCACAGCTGCCTGGGAAGCTGGGCCTGGCGCACAGGAAGCCCCGGGTCCTCGGAGAGTGCAGAGGCCAGGACGGCGATGTGTCCCTGGCCAACACGGCCTGCCAGAGAGCTTACCCTGAGCCCTGGGCCTGGCTCCAGGCCTGGCCGCTGCACTGTCCCCAAATGCAGGTTCTCACGAGCCCCTGTGCTACACCCACAGAAAGCTGCCCTGGGCAGTGCCTGCGGCAGAGGCCCTGCTGGCCAGCGGGGAGTGATGGGCTCCGACACAGTGCCCCAGGGGAGCCCCAGTGCCGGCCACCAGGGAGGCTGAGGGAGAGCACCACAGGACGAGGGACAGAGGGGCTAAGGCCCCAAGGACAGATGAGGCTTTGGCAACTTGAGAACCATAGCAGGTGGGCAGTGGGCCACTGGGCCACTGGGCCTTGGCCTGGTGGTGGTGAGCCAAGCTCCTGAGGAAGCCCAAGGTGGGCCCTCCCCTCGCCCACAACTTCCCGCCTGGTCTGGGGTCTTACTGGCAGATGCAGGTGACCTGGGGAAGCACCTGGGTGTCACCAGGCACCAGCCCCTGGAGCCAAACTGGCCACGGTGCTGCTCTGGCTGACCCAGGCTGACCCAGCACCCCTGGGTGGACACCGTGGGGGTGCTTGTCACAGCTGAGGGCAGGGCCCCGAGCCTGCCAGGCCCAGGCAGCCCAGAAACGCGCTTCGGGGTGACCACCGCGAACTAGGCCAGCTGCCTGGTCCCAGCAAGGACACATGCAGCCCCTGGCCCCTCCACCCGCACCCCTGCCCACCTACAGGGCTGCCCCTGCCATGGCAGCAAGGCTGGGGCTGGGGGGGTTTTCTCCTTCTGTGAGAAGTCTCCCACACCTTGCATCTCTGCCAGGAGCCAAAAGCAGCCGAGCTAAAAATAACTGCCGGCTCCCAGGCCGGAACTCCCCATTGCTAGGAGACAGCGCCTGGGAGGCCGCCATCACTAGGCGACCGCGTTGCCGTGGTGACAGCGGCCCTGAGTCATCTTCAGCCCTGGCAGGCAGGGAGCAGAGGCTGGACAGCGGAGACGGCCCCATGGCATGAGGCCCTGGCTGTGGACACCTCCTGCCACCAGTGCCCCACCTGGCCCCAGGATCACTGCTGTCGGCTAAGATGTGAGGGTACCTCCTTCAGACCTCGCGCCGTTCCCAGGCGGGGACGCCCCTGCTAAGCCCCACCTGGTGGGAGTCCACCCATGTTCCACACAGACCCCAAGGGCATGTCTGAGGGGCCCTTCAGCCAGACTCCGGGGACAGTACAAGGTGGCCATCCCCCTAAGGTAACCCGGATGCCCTCACAGACCTCCAAGGGCCTCACCCCTTCCCCACATGGTCTAGACTCCGCAGACACCCCCATGCTAGGTGTCTAGGCCAAGGGTTGACCCAGGCGAAGGTGCCCAGGGAGAGGGGTGCCCCTGAGGTGTGCTCCAGGTGATGGGTGTCCCAGGAGAGGAGTGCCCCCCGTGAGCGGTGCTCCAGGATAGGGGCGCTCCACATGAGGGGTGCCCAGGAGAGGGGTGCCCAAAATGAGGAGGCCCCAGGTGAGCCGTACCCCAGGGGAGGGGTGACCTAGGAGAGGGGTGCCCAGGTGAGAGGTTCACCAGGAGAGGGGAGCCCCAGGTCCAGGGTGCCCCAGGTTAGGAGTTTCCCAGTGAGGGTTACGCAGGTGACGTGCTTCAGGCCAGGAAGTAGCTCCCGCCCGGCCTGGCGGAGGCAGCCTGCAGAGCCCCTGCCCAAGTCCAGGGAGGCGGGGGCCAGCAGTGCCAGCATGACACCCAGGACTCGGCAGCCTGTGGCGATGAGGGCAGACCCCAAGGAGGGACAGGGGTTCTGGTCGGAAAGGAGGCACCTGGCCCAGGGCGGGTCGCAGAGGTGGGGGAAGTGGGTGGGCCCCAGGCGGTAAATGTCCTCGTGTGTTTTCTACTGTCCCTCTGAGGGCACTCAGTCTGCACAGCAGGGCTGCATGACCCTGGTGCTGTGTGGGTTCTGCGTCCCCCACACTGGCTCTGTGCACCCGGGCGTGCCCTCCACACCCTGGCCATGTATCTGCTGGCCCGAGCCCAGAGCCAGGACCCTGCCCATCATGGTCCCCACATGCACGCACGCACACAGGGACACATGGTGGAGGCTGCACACGCCAGCCCACTGCATGGTGAGGACATGCTCTTGGAGCCGGGTCCTCTGCCTCTGACCTGCTTCAGGACCAGGTCAGCCCGAGCCGCCGTGCTCACCACCAGGCCTCCCGGGGCCGCCGCTGCACACATCAGCCGCAAGTTCTACTGAGCCCGTCCGGGTGCAGGGACCCACCCTCCTCTCCTGCTCCCCTGCTCCCAGGCAGGATGGGCACCAATGGCATCCACTCTGCACTGCGCCTGCTGGGAGCCCTCCGACCTCCCTCAGATTCACCACAGCCCTCACCACTCTGGCCACCCTGTCCCGTTGCCTCCTCCAGCCCAGTCCTTCCTGGAGGGACCGTGCCAGGTCCCTAAGGCCTTGGGGCCTCTGCAGGCCCCTTCCGGAACACCCCTTCCTCTCATCTGCAGGGTCTCAGCTCCAGTGCGACACCCTCAAGAGCCACCTTCACTGCCCATGCCAGGTGACCGTCACAAGGCCCACTTGGGTTCCAGAGCACTCTTTGGGATGATCTCGCTAGTCATTTGGGGGTGCAGGTGGGGGCGCGTCTCCACTGAGGAGTCCTGGGGCCAGGCGAACAGCCATGTGCGGGTGCGGGGCGGGTGTGAGGGCCTTCCTGCTGCGGGAGTGTCCCAGCGGACGGAGGTGGGGACCCTGAGCCAGGACGCGCCGGGCCGCTGCCCATCCCCATAGGCCAACTGCTGGCGCCGAGGCCTGAGGGCTCCGGGTCGTCACACCCCGTGCGGCCCGCCCCCTCGAGCCTGCCCTCGGCTCCGGTGTCCGTCCGGCGCGCGGGGCTGGTCACCCCGCGGGCGGCGGGCGGGGGCGGGGGGGGGC